TTAGAATTTATGATTATTCTCTAATTCTTTACGTTTTGCTTCTTTCTTGTTGGTTCTGTGGCTAAAACGACCCTGAAGCAGCCCACCATCTCTTCCCCCTCCGACCAGGAGTTCTGCTCACATCTTTTTTTTTTTTTATTCGTCCTGAAACTTTTTGCTGCTTATCAAATAACTTTGAGCCTCCGTCAGAATAAAAAAAAGACTGGAGGGTTTTAAATTTCTGGCCCGAGAGGATGAAACAAATGGTGGATTGAAGTTTTCTTGTATTTAAGTTTTTTCCCCCACAGGATGTGCTTCTTCCTCGCGATGCGGCTCGCATCGAATCAGACCGTCACTTAAAAAAGTAATGTTGTATATTCTTTTCATCATTTCTTCGAATCTACTTGGCCTAACAACACAATTTAAAACCAGGTTTAAAGTTCGAAGTCTTTACTTTTCACTCGAGGGTCTCAGAGAGGGCGGATCTTTACAGGTAGTTTTTTTTCTTCCCAAACTTTATTTAGATCAGCCAGCATTGACAACGATCTGCGGGTGACGTAAATGGCGAGGGACGCATAAATCGCGTGACACAACAAATCGATAATGAAAATCATTGCTAACGCTTTTAATAATCAATTTTTATCGCTTTTATCAATTTGTTGTGTCAGCCCTAGCTAGCTCTTAAGTTATGACTAAAATTAACATGTATATGAAAAATATAGGCACTTTCTGGCCATTTTAACACCCAGCTGCCCATCCAGCTTTTATTCAGTGGTAAGATACTTGAACTTTCACCCAAGTATAACTTTGAGGTATTTTATACAAGACTGGTTAAATTACGTTTTGGTTTAATAATCTACCTTTATGGCCAGAATGGAAAGACCTTGTGAGCCAGACATGGCCCATGAACCACCAGTTGATGTGAGGTGGATTTTATCAGTTTTCTCAAATTACTGAACCAAAAGAATTTTCATCTATGCTCAGTTCTGTTTAGAGGTCTAAATTTAAAGATTAATCTGAGTAGTTTGTAAATACAAACTCTTCAAATTCAGTTTGTGAAAACACATTAATGACCTTTAGATGTTTATTGTTTAGTGGTCTACATTCACAGTCCAGAATCTGTTAAATTTACATAAATATTCAGGAAGAATGAGGCAAAACAAAGACATCAGCTGTGAAAAAGCTGCAGAAACAGAAAACAAAGAGAGTCCGACTGACAGCACTGGATTAAAGCGTTACGCAACTCTGCTGGGAGTAAGAAAAAAAAAAACTAAATCCAGATGAGATTAGGGATCTGGATCCTGGTTCTATCCGCTGCTCTCTGTCTTTCCATTCATCATCTCTTCCTGCTTTTTATCTCACCTCCGTCATAAATAAAAAAAAAAACTTTATTATAATCACCTGATCAGGTCTGAGCCGAGGAAACACAGGAGAAAGTATCAGAGCGGCAACTTTCAACCAGATGAAGTCAAAACTGAGATCAAACTTTATCCAGGCGCCATCTAGAGGATTTATGAGTTCAGTTCAGCAGGTTGTCAATTAACTGATCTCAAGAAGATTATTTTTCTATTTGAAGCAGCAGCACGAGCTGTTAGGAAAAATATGTAACAGGTTGTAACAATTTTATCTTTTTTTCATTTCTAGTTTAATTTTTCAACTAAATGATCTGATCTGGTTTAGCTGCCATCTAGGGAGTAGTAACAGGAGGAGCTGGAGAGTGTTGCTGAGGAGAGGGATGTCTCTCCTGGACCCGACTACAGATAAACAGTGGAAGATGGAGTCTTTAATAATGCTCACGTTTTAATTTAAAATTAAAATAACAAACATTCTGTACTTTAATTCAGTCAGTTCCCAGGGTCAYCCGCTTCCTCACTTTGTCCAAATCTTAAAGCTTCTAATCAACATTTTAAAATCCAGCAGGTGATGAGGCTCCACCCACTTACTAGCTCAACAGGTAAAAAACATTTGCTTAAAAAAAAGATTCACGTACACAGAGCTTAATGTGTTTGGTATTCTCATTCAATAGTTTTCAGTTGGTTAGAATGATGTCATCCTGTTATTTTAAAAAAAATTGTTTATAATCTGATGAGTTCATGTCACTCCTCAATCAGACGTTGGAACATGAGGTTGTTTCAATCACAAAATCTTCAGGAAAGGACAATTTCATAATGTTTTATTAGTTTTTCCACAAATCAACTCAGCTGGACGAAAAATAAACTGTTTTTAATGGAGTTTATAGGAGCCACAGCAAAGGTTTCAGCTCATTTTTTCCTAAAATAAAGCAAACCCCACACGCTGCTGGCAAACAGRTTTTATCCTGTGCATCAGAAAACTCAACACTCCAGGAGCTTCATGTCAGCTCACAACTGGACAGGCTTGAGAAATAAGCAACACTTAAGTAACTTTGCTTGTTTGGGAGCGTCACTGTCAGACTAAGATCAGAAATGTGTAAAAGATGCAACCACTACAAAAACAGGCACATAACAACAAGCTGGTGATGAAGGGAAAAATATTTGAGAACGCTGCATATCTTGAAAAATAAAAGAGATTTCTACATTTTGATAAAGCTGTTATAAAAATGTAACAATCCATGTCTTTATATTTTCGGCACTCTGTTTTTTTTTATCAACAAAAGGTAAATTAATTTAAATACACATAAAAGCAGACATGACTTCTGCTGAGCCAGAAGTAGTGTTTGCTTTATAAACAAAAATAATCCTACTTCATATTTTTGAGGTTTATCATCAGAAAATGTTTACAACATCAAACTAGTTTAAGCTCAAACAAAAGAAAACAAAGTCAAAATTAAAAAACAAAAATACTCCTTTTAGCTTGGCAGTTCATTGCATCTTTGTGATGATCCGTGTGAAGAGCGCAGGGGGAAAAAACTGTTTTCTAAGTGTTTTTGTACTATCTGCTACATAAACCAGGCAGTCATTTTCCTTTAAAACCAGAACAACTTGTTTAAAACAAGTTGTTATTATTTTTCAGTTTGAGGACTTGTTTTCGGGTCTTTTATATTTTTTTTAACAAGAGTTTCAGTTTTTCTTCCGGATGCCGGCAGCCACCGCCGCCTGGCCGCACAGCAGCCTGTCCCGTTCCCGCACCTCCTCCTGGAGCTTGGCCTCTGCCACCCGCAGCTGGCGGATGGTCGCCTTCATCTCCTTCATCTTCACGTCCATCAGCGCGATGATGTCCCGCTGTTCGTTCAGTTTCCGGAGCAGCTCGGCCGACGTGGTGCCGATGGTCAGGGAATAAGGGTGATCCACCGGACAGCGGGTCAAGCTGAAGTAGTGCACCGGTACCGGCAGCTGGTGCTCGGACACCCCGGCTTCCCCCGACGACTCCTCGGTTGTGATCTGTTCTACATCCACTGGTGCGCTGTAACAAGTCCCCTCAGTTTGGACGGGCATSCGCGCGGTGCCCAAGTACTCCCCGTTCTGGCCTATCTGAACCACGGTGATGCCTTCGTCCACCGCTTCACCTCCGGCGTTGCCCTCGGCTCCCACGGCCGTGTTTCCCGGGACGCTGGCGGCGGGGGCGGGGATCGCCGCGGACACCTTCCTCCCTCTTCCCCGCCGACTCCGGCGCTCGTTCACCCCCCGCAGAGGGAACAGGGACGGCACTCGGATGCTGTAGGTTTTCCTGCCGCCGGCGAAGTGGTCGCTGCAGACTCGGTGCCCCGTGGTGGGCTGAAAGGTGCTGAAGCAGCCGCTGACCCCGGCCCGGGAGATGTTCCTCAGCCACTGCTCCCTCAGCGCGTTATCCTTAGGGAACGTGTAGAAGCGCAGGTCCCGGTCCCGATGCGAGTTGTTGTAGCAGCCGGGGACACAACACGTGAACCCAGGCATGTTTCCTCCAAAAGACGAGGCTAAAACGCGACCTTCGGAGTGTTTTATTGATGTTTATTTTTATATGCGTTGCTATCAAGCTAGGCGGCCTGCATACGGAACTACACGTCCCACAAAGCTAACGACTTCCTGTTTGGGTTTTCTTCCCCCAGCAAGTTAGCCGCTCCGYTGCGCGCGACGACTAAATTGACTTGAATTTGTCAAGAATCGTAGTGTATGAATAACTTTTTGTTACCTTATTCAATACAGATATTTTAATTTGAGACTTTTTTTTTTGTTCTTCGATCCAAGTCAAATGTCCTCGACAGGACAACTAAAARTCCCATGATTCCTAGCGGGCCCTTTCTGTTTGTATTCACCAAGCAGCGCCCCCTAGTGGTCAGAGTTCAGAAATGCAATTGAACCAGCACAYTTCTAACAGCAAACGTCTCTAGACTGATACAAAAAATACAGTCTTACATTTTAAGGGAACAAAAGTGACAACTAAGTCTAAAGAGGACATAATTTTAGCTAACTGAGCCATGGTTATTGTACAAAAGGAAAAATATTTCTGAGGTTTAGGACCTTTCATAAGATGTATTTCAAACAGAAATAAATGAGTGAAGTTAGGGGGACATTCCTCTGAATAAATAAACATTACCACAGAGTTTTTCTTCTTTGTTTTTCATGACTAACCGACAAGTCATTTCATCTTAAGAAATAAACTGGAAAATACTATTTCAAGTTAGTTAATATTATCAGAAATGGTCATTTTTACAACATTTATAGAAAAACTTGGGGTACGTCTAAATATTTTTAGTTCTGTTCTCTATTAGAATCAGTTATTGTTAAAATCATTTGTCGTAAAATTGCTCTTAATCATATTTATATTTCAATGAAAACAGAAAGGAAATCCAATATCCAAATCATTGTCTTTTTTTTTTCAGAACTTGCAAATCCAAATTTGTGTCTCCTCAGTATATATGTTCATTCAGAAACTTTTCCTTTTCACCTATAAAAGAAAACAAATATCAAAGGTATTTTTAAAATGACAATTTGTATGTTTATGTTTTAAATTATATTAAAAAGACACAAATCTCTGATACATAAATGGCTAATGTGATTTGAGTAATTTTAAAAACGGTTCAGAATTGCACTTTCAAAAAAGTTAATAAAAAAAGTATGTAAATGATGTATCCCTTTACTGAAGTGGACACATTACATAAAATTTGGTTCCGTTTTGCATGGTGAACTGGACAATTTTGAATAACAAAGTTATTGAATTTTTGTTCATGTTATTGTTATAGCTGAATGTTGCAGTATGAGTTATTTTTTAAAAGCTTGTTTTGTCTGTGTTGTGTTGACTTGTTTTTCCCCAATTAAATGTAATTAATTATTTATACACCTGAAACTTGCTGGGTTCCATACAGAAGCATCTCATTCTGCTCAGAACAACTTACTTTATAGGTKTATCTTACCTCTGTTAATTAAACACTTTATGACTTATTTACCAAATCTTGTTTACGTCTRAACAAATGTATTTCCTTTAATTAAATTACCCTCTGATGTGATGAACAATGCTAGGATTGTTYAGCATTTCCGCTTCCTGTCAACGGTCCTCCCGCTGCTACTGAAGCTAAGCTAACATTAGCAAATGGGCAGTGCCCGGCTGAGCGCCCATCTCTGTTGTGGACGTTGACCCGACAAAACACAGTGGGTACCTCGTGTGTTATCCGTGCATTTTCTTATGGCATATGTGTTGTTGTTTTCTATTAAAACCAGTAGACCACTTGAAATAAGATAAGGTGTATAAAGTGCCGGCGTTTATCGCGAGTTTTTGTGTTAGCTTAGCTTCTTTTTAACCGGTTAGCTATGTTATGCCAGCTGATATTATCAATAGCTTCTCTGTTTCTGTGTTTACGTATTATAGAAGTTACATTACATATAAGATCGAGGTGTTTGAAAGTCACGTCCTCTTATTGCAGCAAAAAGTTAAATGTTCATGTCAAATGTCAAGCTGCGGACACAGTTCTGAGTACTTGGTGTCCATAAAGAGGCTTTCCTTGCTTTGTTTGTTTGTTTTCCACGGTTTCTAATTCCCATTCTAAGAGATTTCTGGTTACACAAGTCATGCAGGTGCACAAGCCCAACGTTTTTGCACTGTATACTCTCCTTCACAGATATGTATGTCATCAGCATTATTTCATTTAAACTCACTTGAACTAGATAAACTTATCAGRCTGCCTTATCAGTCTCAGAAATGCACAAGAGTTCAATAACAGCAGTGTGCTTTAARATAAAACAGATGAGTTTTGAGTCAGGCAAGTTTCAGACAAGTTGAGCTACTTAAGCAGTTACAGTGTTCAACATGGACWAGGTGGCTAGGGCAGAGTAGCAGTTGTGTTGGAAGAAGGAAGGGTGTTCACMTTTCATGAGTGTGGAGCATCTGAGGAAAGTCATTTTAAGTATGCAGCGGGGCAYGGTGGCTGATGAGGAACGCTGGGCAGGACCTCCATCTGACATGTTTGTCCTGTTTGTTGGGTCATTCACCCTCAGTCGCAGAGAGATGTGATGTAGGTAATGTGCCGTGAGACTGGTTATTGTCAAAAGCTTGTCAGAGTCTGTAGCAGCTCWACGTTCAGAAACTTTCTTTTTTATTTATTTGGAGTTATGTTTGGAAGCAGAAACAAAATTCACACTTATAATGTTGGTAAAAAAAAAACAATATTTGATTTTTGTCAGCTTTACATTTTTTATTAATATTATTATTATTTTTTTAATCTTTGCAGGTAAACTGCTCCAGCACAAGCTGAGACGTTAAAGAGGATGGTCACGGTTCACACATGAAGCCGTGCTGAGAGGCACTGCCATGTTGCCAGGAGTCGGTGTGTTTGGTACAGGGAGCACGGCCCGAGTGCTGGTCCCGTTGTTGCAAGCTGAGGGCTTTGAGGTTCACGCACTTTGCGGAGGAAGCGAAGAGGAAGCTTGCTGCTTGGCGAAGGAGCTCGGCATCCCGTTCCACACCAGCCGATCTGACGACGTCCTCCTGCACCAAGACGTTGACCTTGTCTGCATCTATATTCCACCCTCAATGACGAAACAGATTGCAGTCAAAGCACTGGGTAAGGGCTATTTATATAGACTTAAATATTTTATGCCAATTGTTGCTCAGAGTTTCCTCTAATTATGAATGTATTTAGGGTTTTTTTTCCCTCAGTTTACACTGTATTTTATTTGACCAAACTACTAATGCAACTTGATCTGTTTGGGTGTGACACAGGATAAGTCAGACATATTTGCATAGCTGAGCTGTAATGTCCCCTCTGAAAGTATTACAAAAAAAATATTCCTCTGAATCAAGATATAACCTGTATAACCCTGTCTTTGTCTAAACATTAGTTACACATTATTGTGTCAGAGGGGAGTGGGTGTGTAAAGTTAAGTGCCTTATCTGATGGAATTCTTCAGCATTGAGCTCAGTTTCCTGTTTTAGCTGCTGCTTCCTGGTTTTCCTACTGAAGGGCTTTTCGGCAGCTCTGATTCCACCTTCCACTGAGTGTCGATCTGCACGTGTGGAAATGCGCAGACCCTGTGTGTAATGAGAAGTTGGAACATATGAAGAATTAAACAAACAGCTACACTATTAAATCACATTTATTACACAGTAATTTTTCACTTTAATAGTAGAGGAAGCTACGAYGGAGAATTAGGGCCACACAAYGAGATTTAAAAAAAATTAAATTACTAGAATAAAGTCATAACATTACGACATTAAAGTCGTATAAAAATAAAGTCATAATATTATGAGAATAAAGTCGTAACCTTACGAGATTAAAGTCATAATATTCTAAAATTAAAGTCTCAATACTCGTCTATACCCTTCACACGGTAAAGCATGCAGTTACTGCATAAAAATGAGGAACGTTGAGCAACTTAAGTTGTTATTTCGTGTATTGTTCAAAAATAAATAGTTGAATCTTTTAGCACATTATTATCAAATTATCAGCAGCAGGACTTGGAAGTTGTGCAAACAACTATATGATAAACTGAAGCACGCATTGACAGATTTAGTCGGCACGTAGCTAATTTGGATGAAAGCATATTAATCTAACAGTGACCCGAGTCATCACGGACTACTTTATAAACATGGCTGTCCACGGAAGGTGTGAGGAAAATGAGGAAATGAGGAACGGAAAATGGACACGTCATGTAGGATTGTGAGTTTTTTTCTCGTAATATTACGGCTTTATTTTCGTAATAATAATAAAAATCTCGTTGTGTGGCCCTAATATTCCGTCGTAGGAAGGAATTCTATTTAAAGGATGTAAAATCTGTGATGTGTTAAATTTGCACAGTTAAGGCTCAAAGAATATTGATAGTTTTCAATAACAGCTTTGTTTTCCTATCTTTTCAGGTATTGGTAAGAATGTTGTATGTGAGAAAGCTGCAACGGCTGTGGATTCGTTCAAGATGGTGACTGCGGCCAGATACTACCCTCAGCTGCTCAGCATTATGGGTAACACCCTGCGCTTCCTCCCTGCCTTCGTTGCAATGCGCCGGCTGCTGGTCGACGGATATGTCGGTGACATCCAGGTGTGCGACGTCCGGGTCTACGGCCCGAGCCTCCTTGACCAGTCGTACGGCTGGACCTGCGAGGAGCTGATGGGAGGAGGCGGGCTGCACATCGTTGGCTCCGCCATCATCGACCTCTTAAGTTACCTCACGGGCGCCCGAGCCCACCGTGTGCACGGTTTACTGCGGACCTTCGTGCAACAGAACAACCTGATCCGAGGCATCCGCCGCGTCACCAGCGACGACTTTTGTTTTTTCCAAATGTTGATGGGCGGCACCGGGCCCGCTGGTGTGTGCTGCACCGTCACACTGAACTTCAACATGCCGGGGTCGTTCGTGCACGAGGTGATGATAGTCGGGTCCACTGGGAGGTTGGTGGTCAGGGACACCCAACTCTACGGCCAACGCAACGGCAGCGCGAGAGAGGAGCTKCTGCTGGGCGACAACGAGTGGGTCGGACCCGAGGCGAGAGAGATGCCCCTCCCCTTCCTGCAAGGCCTGAGCTCCATGGTGAAGGCACTCAGACAGTCTTTCCAGGCTCACGAGGAGCGCAGGTGCTGGGCACCGGGACCGGTTGCTTCGGCGCCGACGTTCGAGGACGGCCTCTACGTGCAGACGGTGGTGGAGGCCGTGAAGCGGTCCAGCAGCAGTGGGGAGTGGGTCTGTGTGGAGGTTATGAGTCAGGAGCCGGATCCGAATCACAACCTGTGCGAGGCTCTTCAGAGAAACAAAAACTGAATTAATTTATTCATTAAGTGCAAAAACTACACGTACGGGTCAGAACAGGGCTTTGAATATTTGTTTGTGTTGTTTTGGCTGTTTACGTCACACACGACTACTTCTTTCACATATTGATCATGTTTTTGAGCGTCAGTCTTTTTATTTAAATTAAAACAACCGCATAGTGCAACAAYTGAAACAAGTTCATACACTAAATTTACATTCGTAAACCTCAGCTCCATTATTTGGATTCTGACCAGAAGGCGGTGAAAATATAGATGGCGTCAAAGTCTCCCTGAAGCCAGCTTGAGCCAAAAATAGATGCTGCTTCTCTTCACTGTCGTTTGAACGTAAACGCAGTTTTCAGACTTTGTGATGCACCACATATCAATAAGGCACAACACCTCCATTAAATATTAATGATAAAATAAACAACATCGTCAACATAAAGAAGCATCCAGACAGTTTTTTGCAACCAAGCTGTTAGCTGCTGAGAAGTTTACTCAGACACATGAATTATTATGCATAAAACATGAATGTTTATTCATCTAAAAGTGCAGACAAAGAATAACAGAGCTGTGCGCAGTTTACATCTTATTTTAGTTTTGACTTTAATATTTGTAATGTTACATGCCTAAAATTATTACAACAAGGACTGGTAATTATTTAGATTTCTAAATATTACAGTTTGCCATGTTTTAGATAGGGGATGAGTGAAATAAGCTATGTGGAGAAAATAATTTGTAGCATTGTCCCTTTAAAATGGTCAGTTTTTTCTTTTTGTTTGTAATAGTTTGCTATAAGCTAGAATAGAGGCTTAGGTTGTTGTTTTGTTTCATGCATTCCTTACAGAGCAGCTGAAGTTGGGAAAATCATCTCATTCTCTCAGCCGACTCGTGCATCGTTCACATGCCTGGTAGTTTTATTCTTTTTATCAAAACCTACAAATAAATGAATCTCTGCGAGAACAGAGGTTTGAATTGTGTAACACTGTTTTCTTGGTGAGTCTGGCTGAAATGTGAAGTGGAAGCAGATAAATATATAAATATACATCTCATAAGGAGGCAGAGATGAAAACATTTCACTTATGATCAACCTGACTTCAAATTTAAAAGCTGCTGCACCTGTTTGGCTTATTTAGTTTGTAAAAACATAGCTGATATAGCTTTTGTCGTGGAGATTAGAGTTTTAAATTTAGTTAATTGTGATTATTTGGCAACAAATTGAATTTAAATGCCCTGCAATGTTTAGTTTACATTTGATAACCAATGTTTGTTCTCCAAGATGATTTAAATCTGTTGTATTAAGATGAGCAATTCTGAAACTTTAAGGATTTTTTTGTAGAGTTTACTTTTGTGTCTGAATAGTWAGGGTTTGTTACAGTCGTTCACTGCATCTAAAGGCCCTGTCACACGAAAATGTTCAGACAACTAATGAAGATTTAGTCCAACATTAAACATATCTATGTTGAAGATGGAACAAAATGTATATATATACTGGGAGTCTCGTTTGGACTTATACATACTGTGACGCTAATGATCAGCTCAAATATATAACCTATATGAATAATTTTGTCATAATTGTCATTAATCAGCATAAGTTGTCTAAAACTTGGTGTAATWAGGCCTTTTCTTGAGGATTTTTCCTGTTTAGCGGCTGACGTCACTGTTTATCACTAAATCAGACGGTGCTGTAAAAACCTGCTCTTTACATGCTTCGTATCCCAGCAATGCGTTACAAAAACAATAGTTTACATTAAGTATCTTCAGAAAATACATATTTCTGCAGAACATGTCACTACTAAAATTCATTCCAGCAGAGATTTTTTAACTTATCAGACTTCTTTTTCTTTTTGCACTGATAAGATGTCCCCATATGTAATATCTTGCACCAACCTACTTGCTGCAGAAGTGACTTTAATGTGTGTTAGAGGAAGACTTTTCTATTTATTTATGTCAGTTGGGGGGTAAAAAACAGTTTTTTTTTTGTTCTGTCCAGTGTTTGTGTTTTCAGCCTGTGAATTTCTGTTTAAAGCTGTAATATTTCCTCTTTTTTTAACATTTAGTCTTGTTTTGACTAATGTGGCATTTTGAGCACTAATTTGTTGCTTTAAAGTTGGTAAACTGTATTGTTTATCTGCATGACAGATAATTCCTTTAATAAATACAGCTGCTTTCATTTAAAACCTTTTTGTTTGACTTTGGAATATTAAAACATATTTTTGCTTGTCAATTTTGTATTAAAAGAGATGGTGACAAATAAAAAAACACTGCAATTTAATCTGAAATTCTCCTGAATTTGAATTAAATGACAACTTAATCAGGATTAATTTTAGAAAGTTTTGCACCAATGAAACCTAAAGCTTGAAGCCTCACATTAGTAATGCTTGGAAAAACTGAGAAAAAGGATAAAAGGCCAATTGTTTTATGGTCCTGCCAATAAACAATTAAAATAATATTTAAACAGGTAGCTATTTTATTGAAACTGTCCCAATTTTGACACGTCTATAAAAACAAGTTTATAAAACAAAACAATGTTAAATCTACGGAGCTTGCAAGGTGACAGTGGGATTTTTTCTTTTGTATTCCCACCAATACTATTTATTGYGTTACCTTGTAAAACTCTTTGCGTTGCCTCGCAAAATAGTTTTGCGTTCCCACACAAAAGTTTGTTTTGTATATGAACTGAATTAAATCAGATTTTTATTTTTGAAATAGCCGGTTACCAAAACAGGATGTGTCGCCACAAGTTTGTGAMATTGWCRTTGATGTTGTGTGGCTGCACTGTGTTAAAATATCACCATATAACATACTTCCATGCGTGCTTGTGTGACCATTCTGAAGCTGAATTAAAGTAGTAGGCTAACTTGCTAATGGTGAACACGTGAATGTGTTAATAAACCGGCAGGCACACAGTGATATTCGACTTTTTCGAGGGAACGGAAACGAAAAAAAAAAAAAAAACTCCCGTGTCACCTCGCGGGCTCCGTACAGGGGAGGGGACACGCCAGTTGCAATGCATTGTGGGTAAATCGTAACCAAGTTAGCATAACAGCTAACCTTTTCAAACGACAGATTCGCCTTGTTTTGGTTCACGTAGGTCGTCCGACTCGATCCGAGACAGAAGTCCGGAGGGTACAGATGGACAAATACCGACAGAGACGTGTGGTATAGAGCTATTTCAAAGACACGGACCCCGACTCGGTGCAGTGTCTGCTCTGTTCCGAGTTTGTTGTGCGYAGAAAGGACTGTGCTTCCACGACTTGGACACCTGAGTGCGTCTAAAACATMTCGCAGAGCTCTCCGGGACAGAGCTGGACCTGAATGCTGAAAGTGCAGTGGACCCAGAGCATCAAAGCATGGAAATAGACGGAGACCAGATAATCTCTGGTATGTTTCTGAGTTATCTGTTAGCATTGGTATGTTTCTGAGTTATCTGTTAGCATTGGTTTGTGGAAGCTAACGCATGCTAATGGCACACTTACCAACACCAGCTCAGGCTTACATAAACTGTAACTTGGGTTAAACTTAGGAAACGTTAGTATTTATTCTGAGATACTTAAAAGGAAAAACAGAAGAGCATCAATAAACTCATTCACTTATCTTCTCAAGACCTGTTGGACTGTGTATGTGGAATATGGATATCAGGAGATAAAGTTGGTTTAATAATGTTGGGAGGTTATATTAACTGCATGTTTACATATAAAAAAAATAACAAGATTGATACGTAAATAGGATAGTGTTCAAATTAGCTTTTAGTCCAGAAAATGTCTTGAATCTATATTTGCGGCCTTACAACTTTTCCCGACTTATTTTTCAGTGGTGGTGGAGATGGAAGACGACGTCTCCAACAACAAGACCTCACCTAACGATTCTGACACCAGCTGTCCTGTCAGTGCCCCACTGGAAACTTCCCAAGAATATTTGGCAGAGCAGATGTCCGTAGAGCCGAGCCACGACCACTCTGTGAAAAACTCACGCAGGCGCAGTCTGATCTGGAGGCTCTTTGAGCACTTGGAAAGTTTGAACACCGCCCGTTGCCGCATCTGTCTGAAGAAGCTACACGAAAGCGGTGGAGTCAGCAACCTTCGTCGACATTTGAATAAAAGACACCCGATGGTGCTCTCAGAGCTGCTGGCCAGCGAGCATCAACTTCCTGCAGYGCCTTCACTGGTAGTCGATGCTAACGATGTTACTCACGAGAACCACCAAGATCCAGGTGAGCTCATAGATCACTGTTGTGTGTAGTTAAAACCGTTTGTAATTGTATTTTAATTGTGTTACTCTTAAATAATACTGCTGGGATTCCTTCAGTGTGTTCAAGCTATTATCCAGATGTAACAAAAAAATCGTGACAAACGCATCATTTATACTCCAGGTCTATTTAAGTTTTCACAGAATAAAGTTCAAAGTTTTAGATTTGTGAAGCATTGTATCTGCTTGTGGTCGTTCAGCCGTGACGTAAACATTAACAAGGGAAGTTTGAAACGCCAAGGAATTCTGGGTAAATGGCAAATGAATGGTTCGTCCGTCCGTCCATCCATTTTCTTCTGCTTCTCCGGGGTCGGGTCACGGGGGCAGCAGCCTAAGCAGAGAGACCCAGACTTCCCTCTCCCCAGCCACTTGGGCCAGCTCCTCTGGGGGAATCCCAAGGTGTTCCCAGGCCAGCCGAGAAACATAGTCCCTCCAGCGTGTCCTGGGTCTTCCTCTGGGCCTCCTCCCAGGCCATAAATAGTATTTAAGTTAAAGTAAAAGCAAAAAATATTAGATACGTGTGAAAATTTGAGCAGGTTTGCAAAGAAATAAACTCTGGCTGCTTGATGGCTGGGTCACAGCATCTCAACTGCTACTCGGCCTGTAGTAGTGGAAAAAGTAGAAGTAGTTCAGCTTTGTTTGATTTTTATTTGCTGCATTCTCCAGAAACAATATTTTTTTGAATGATTTGTAACAAGTTAACAACTTTGATGATTTTCTTTAGGATTCTCAGAAATTAGCTTTTGGTCAAACAGAACGTGCCCTGTGGCACATTTACCATATGGCAGGGCTATTCAACTAAATTGCTCCAGGGGCCACAGTTACTGCAGGCCAACAGCTGAGGGGCCGAACATCCAGCAATTAAAGTCATTATGTAAATAAATCAAGTATTACAAAGATCTGTTACCTTTGAAATAGTTTATTTTGCTGCATTTAATCATGAATACAACATGCAGAACCTTATGTAATAAAAGCAGTGATAATAAAACAAGAACAAAAACAAAAAGAACACACTCTGCCTCATATTTACCACAAATTATATTTTGACATCTCTGACTTGCCAAAAATTTAAACCAAATTTATTTTCACTTTCATAGTTTTATCTTCAACTGTTTGTAATTTTAACTGTCTCTGGTGTTCATTGAAATGGTTTTTACCAGCTTGTAGCCAAGATTCTGACATTTCTGTAGACATCACACATGTCTATGTTTAACTAGAAGAACTTAGAGTAATAAAGTGGAAAACAAAACTAGTTTGGGCTTAAGAGATGAATGAACCAATTGGCGGGCGGCCAAACTTTGGTCACTCGCGGACCGGATGTGGCCTGCGGGCCGCCAGTTGAATAGTCCTACTGTATGGGTTTAAGTCTTGAAAAGGGTTCATTATAAATAGTTGCTTACTGTGACTGTCAAACATTTTGTCTTATTCTGTTGAAGTGGTATTGGTGGAAGGCGACACTGTGGTCATGACTGTACTGACTGCACCTGAAAATCCAGTCAAGGGCCTCGTGGACTCACTACAGGAGGATTCAGCACAGGTGATAACATCTGCAGAGGAGGCAAGTAGATTCTCGAAGTTGTACTCCAGGTCTTTATGCTTTATTWWTWTWWTTTTTTTTGCATGGTCGTCCACATTATAGTTTAAATAACCTCCATCAGACACCAGTGTGAACAGAGCCACACACAGCCCTGAAGTGAGCTGCATGCACAGAAGATATGTCACTGTGGCTGCTCATTTAGCGCATAGACTTCTGGAATGTGCTTGATTTAGGGGAAAAAACTGAAAATATTTATTTCTATACTTGCGTGTGTGTTGATTCTGAAGTTGTACAGTCGGGACGATAAAATTAATACCTACTATTCTTGTTTCATACAATGTTTTCGTTTGATCCTGACGCCTCCCACTTACTCGGTTGCAGTATCGTAATTCTGGAATGGGAGTGACAAACTGAAAGTAGAGGCGAGAAACAAACTCAAGTATTGACCCCATCGTGCTAGCATCAATCAATCAATCCAMCACACTGGTTTACCACTGTTAGCATCATCTCTCTCAATCTGTGTTGATTTGCCTGGTTAAATAAAGGTTAATAAAATAAATATGTTGGTGTAAATTCTCAGTTTTTCAGGACATGAAGAAATGAGAAAGTTAAAAAAAAGATGAAGCAATTGGACTTTTATTCTGTCTCTGAAGACGAGCAGAGTTTAAGCTTTAAACAGCATAACTTTTATGTCTATAAAATCACTATCTGCATTGATCCTTGTACCCCTTGAAATGAGAAGGGGTTCTCTGCAGACTCAAAGTAGGAGTGTCACAAGAGTAGGCGTGTCTAAAGCATAAACACTGATTGTCTAGTTGTATTTGCTCTGTTTTTCAAAAAGTTTGGTTCTTCTCTTTCATTTTTCTTTCACTTTTGAATTTAACTAGTTTCACATTAATTTTAGCAACCAAAACTGCTTTTGTTTTTTAAATGAAACCACAATGTATCGTTAAAACCAAACATTTAGTTCTCCCTGTTTCTAAATGTCTCAGAAAATAAAAAAACTCTACAGACTGATGTTGCTCTTATTTTGAATCCAAGCTGGAGCTCTTTAAGTGAAGTGGAAATAATGAATGAAGACTTAGGGTCCGACTCTGTCTGCCTCTTCATATAAACATTCAATACCAGCAGCTAACCTGCCGGCTGTTTTTATTTCCAAGTCTTCTAATTACCACTGTAACAACAGCAAGTTTGTAAAACTACATGTAATGAAAATAAATATGAAAATCCAATGCTAGGGTATAAGTTAAGCTAAAGAAACGCCGAAGCAACGATCATCCAATCAGATGTGTCCCTTGAAAAAAGGTCGTCCAATCAGGTGTGTCTGTTGTGAATCGCCTTCCTTTGGAAACGCCTACTCGTACACAGAGACTACTACTTGGTTGAAACTGCAGAAACATTGAAAATGTATCAGATTTAGTACCATGTATGAAAAAGACTTGGGTTGGATTTGAAAAAATTGGATTTGTCATAAAAAAGTCAGTCATGGGTCACGTAAAGGTAAAAAAACAAAGTATTTGAGTCAGTTTTGTCTGCAGTGTGAACGTAGCCTAACTTTGAACTCTCTAAAGGGCTCAGGTGTTAATGCTGGAACAGGTGAAACCTCGTGGAGCAACACTCAGAAATGGATTCCAGGTAAGATGTTGCTACTCGCTGCTGTTTGACATAAATGTTTATTATTTAAAGACCATTTTTAAAGAATTACACCTCAGATTACATGAAGTCAGATCTGTGTCGGCTTGAAGAAATTTTACTTTACATTTTCCTGGAATGTTTTGAGAACTAACATTCTTTTTTYCCCAGTAACAACKTTTTTATTTTTATTTATTTATTTAGTGGAAGCGCTGCAGGATGGCAGCACTGACGTTACGTCTCCAACGAACGATACCGAAATCAATTCAGCCATAAACGGCATACTGGAGACTTTGCAGAAAGGTTCAGCAGCACAAGCAACACGAGCGGCGCCCGCAGGTGAAGGTGAGGAGCAGTCTGTAAAGAAAACTCGCAGGCGGAGTTTGATGTGGCAGCACTTTAAACGGCTGGACAGTCTGAACATGGCTCAGTGTCAGATCTGCATGAAGAAGCTTCGATGCTTCGAGAGCGGCTGCACCAGCAACCTGCACCGACACATGTCGAAGAGGCACCCGCAGGTGTTCTCTAAGACGACGTCCAGCCAGCGGCAGCACCCGACACTGAACTCAAACCCACTGAAGACCAATACGCTGARAAGACACAACGAAATGATGCCAGGTACGACTGAATTACTCACTGCTRTTGGTAGGACTGGGTGTTGTTAAAACACTCACAGTTCAATTCCAGTTCTTTGGGTAACAATTGGATTAGATTTCGATTCAGTATTGCTTTAATGCTTTGTCGATTTCCTAATTAGAAGTACACGAGTCATTAGATATTTATTTTCTTGCCCATATGAACAGAAATGGTTTACATTAATATTTTACAGAAAMAAACTATCTGAAAATAAAGCTGTAGCACAATAATACTTGTTCTAAWTATGAAGTAAAAGCATTAAACTTGACAACCTCAAGGTTTAAAGTAGAAAAAATCCTGAGCCTGAAATGTTTTTACAACGGTGAGAGGAGTGAACTCATAACATATTGTTTAACTTGCCAATCTGTGCAAAAATCCACACTTTCAATGACACAGAATGAATGTGAGGTGTTTACTTCTCTACATCAGAGTCTGAGACAAATCAATTGTATTGCAAAGGCAGGTAATAAATATATTTTTCCAACTCAGGCTTTACAGTGCTCCATAATTTGATTCATTTTGTGGTTAACTCGTTTTTTTAAACTTGGCACAAAGTAGCTGTGTCATTGTCAACACTCTCTCTGTAATAAAAATCCTGCAGCCAGGAGGGATCACAGATCATCACCTCACTTTATTTAACTAAAATCTAATGTAAAATTGAAAATTGCAGATTCTCACATTAACTATGAAAATCTGAAAATAACAGTCTCATGGAGAAAACTTTGATTTATTTTTTTTTGGGCGGGGACACGAAGACTCACCTTGGCTGTAGTCTTGGTCATACAAATTTACGTCTTTCTGTATTAATAGTTTTTATTCAGGAACTAAAGTAATCAAGACAGGCAGGCTGATAGGGTACATATATATATAAAAAACCCTCAGTTTTTGGCATTTGAAATTGTAAACGTTCATATTTTTTAAAGGGTTCAGTTGTTCATGTTTGAGTTGTAAACAGGGACAAAACCTGCCCCTTTCTTGAACTTTGTTCTGTGATAATTTTGTTTTTATTTTTAAAATATGTGTGTTTACATGTATGTTTATAAGTAAACAAATTAAATGAATGAAAGTCTTTAAACACAGCTCATTTCAATGTTTGGAAACTCAGTAGACAATGACTTTTTTTCAGTGGAAGAGGATGTCAGCGCTGACAGTACTGCCCCATCGAACGAGACCGTAATCAGCTCGTCCATAAACGGCACACTGGAGATTTTGAGGGAAGGTTCGGCCCTAGCAGCGCCTGCAGATGAAGGAGAGGACCAGTCTGAAAAGAAACCCCGCAGACGGAGTATGATTTGGCAACACTTTAAGCGACTGGAGAGTTTGAAGGCAGTTCAGTGTCAGATTTGCATGAAGAAGCTGCAGTGGTTCAAGGGCGGCTGCACCAGTAATTTGCACCGACACATGTCGAAGAGGCACCCGCTGGTGCTCGCCAAGCAGCAGCAGCAGCAGGACACGACACCAAACTCAAATTTACAAAAGATCGTTACTCTGAGAAGACACGACGAAAGGATGCCAGGTGAGATACCTGCTGTTGTTTTTTTTAAATATTGTGTTCTTTCACTCAACTGTAAATGTGGTGCTCTGTGGTGTCCAGTCCATGCAGGTGGACCCACAGGTTCAAGGGAATCCGAAGTGGATAGCAGAGCGATGAAGCAGGAAAAGGAGCTGATCGAAGCCCTGAGGAGAACGCAGAGGGAGGAGGCTCGGACTCTGGAACAGCAGAGGGAGCTGGTCGAGAAGCTGAGAGCAGCCAGCGCCAGAGAGGCGGCTGCAGAGCGGGAGAACATCGAGCTGCTGAGGAAACTACAGATGCAGGAAGCCAAAGAGTTGAGCAGACAGCGGGAGGAGCTGGAGAAGGAAAAGACTGAGCTTCAGAGGAGGTGGGAGGAGCTCCAACGGGAAAGAGAAGAGATTTTGTTGCTCTCCAGAGACAAGGAAGCCTCTGGATGATGTTCTGACATCAGCCGTGGAGAAACTTGGTCCAGGACAGATGATTTAAAGATTCTTCCTCACCCTGCATTCAATCTGAGCCACGAGCAACTCTAAAATATGTGAACTTAGATAGTTTTGTCTTTTTAGTGGGTTTTGCTCACAAATGTATCTCCTGTCAAATAAAACTGCATCAGAGTCTCTGCTGTCAGTGCAGATGTTTGAGGATGGATAATATTTTAAAGCTCTTGTAGAAATTTAAAAACACAGCAGCCAAGTTTTGAAATGAAAAGATAGTTTGATAAACAATTCTGTTGTCTAATCCCAATTTTTTTATATACTAGTGAAGGCCAGTTTCCTAGTGACACTGAATAAGGAACTGATATGTGAGAGAAAATATACAGTATAAGATTTTTCACAAAGCTTTTAAATAAATTACATTTTAGTTTCATTATTTCAGCCCTCTAATAAAATACTGGAATACGGTTTTTGTTAGGACAACTATTCTGCTCGTAATAAATACTTACCGGTATTCATTATCAGCCTGTTATTACTAGAATATTGTTTTTTTATATAGTTATAGTTAAAGCGGTGATGGGGGTACATAAAACCAAAGAACAATTGCAGCTTTCAAGTTTCATGTAGGTAAACCATGAATAAAAACCAGTTTCAAATGTTAAAATRAAAAAAGGATTCACATTGTTTTAAAATAGTAGCCAACAATTTTAACTCTAATATTTTTATACTGTTTTCCTTATGTTGAGTATTAAAGGTACCGTCTTAATGCCCATCTAAAAAAGTGAAAAGATGTGTTCTGTCCTGATTTTATGCAGATATGAATTTTTCACTCAAGTCTGTTTAAATTATTAAAAATGTTACAAKATTTTTAAAGCAATATTACCATAAAGATGTTGCTTGTTTTTGTACTCATTTGTCAAGCCATACATTTGTTTAAATAAACTAGTTAAAAGCCTATTTGGATCAAGCATATGTAATAATTCAAATAGGGAATATAAATACTAGAACAAGTAAGAAGAACGAATCTTTTAGCCTTATTCAATTATAATGGTAGAAACAGAATGTTAGTGCGCGTGCGCGTTTTAAGGAATATTTTCCCCCAGAGTCAGTCTTCTCAGGTAGAGTTTCGCCAGCGGTATTCCTAACGAAAAACATGCGATTTTTATATCGCGTAGTTAAATTAAACGTTGTTTGTTAACAAATGATACAAATAAAAACATAAGTAGGCTCATAGTTGCTACGATTCATCCTCTTCCATTACCTTCCAGACTAAACCCAGGAACCAGAAGCGAACTGATGACGTTGACTTCTGTTTAGCTCTACGTTGAGGCGGAACATGGCCGACAGCGGACCCTTGGCCGCAAAAAGAAGCGACTCCGGTTCCTTGTCCTCGGTGAGCATGGAGACCATCTCCACGCTGACGGAGCTGGAGGACCTGGAGAGAGTTTACCAGCAGCTCTGCGCCGAGGAGGTGCGTCCCGAACGGCCATTAGCATTAGCTACGTCATCGAATGTAAACTTCCGGGATGCTGCTCTGCGAGAGAAGATGCTGGTCGCAAAACAGTCAAATTTTAATTATACATCGTTTTATAATTCTATACTACGACCATTGTTTTACAAACTAGATCAAAACTACCACTCCTTGCTGTGCCGTGAACACTAATTTGCCAAAACCTAATTTATATTTTTTATAAGCTGGAAACATTTTGTATGTCCTCGTATTTCTGTTACAYAGGCACTGATAGACACAACAGTTCACAGATTAGTAGTTTATAAATAACATTTAGTTAAATCAAATAGTATTTGTTAAATGATCCACACAAAATGTTTAGAATAACTTGGTTTAAAGGCATAATGTCCCTGTTTTCTACAACTTAAGACCCCTGATGTGCTCCTAAAACTGATTAATCTCTCTCATTTTTATCAAACATTTAATTTTCATACACTAATAAGCACTAAATGATTTGACATTATTTTTGCACCTACAAAAGGGACCAAACTCAAACTAAAATGTGGACTATAAACGTTTTCTTGTTTGTTTGCTTTTTAAATAATTTTAAACATTCACATGTTCTTACTATATGTTATATTGGATGTTTATTGCAGAAAGAAGTGGAAGCTGAGCTGGACAGGCTGGTGGGACAGGAGGGGAGCGTTCACACAAAGATGCTGGCACTGCAGAGGATGGGGTACAGACTCATCACAAGTAAAAAAAAAAAAAACAGCTGGTTTATTTAATCATAAATATGCAATGTGACAATTTTCCTTTTCCTCCGCAGACCTAATTTACAGCTGATTGGAGGAGACGCCAGTCAACTGTCAGGCATGATCAATTTCACCTGCAGCCTGGCTGAAAACGTCAGTCGCAAAGTCAGACAGCTGGACCTGGCAAAAGTAATTACTCCTCTTTACTTACAGCAGGAAGGCTCATGTCAATGACATCAACACACAAACACACATGATGTTTTCTGAATGGATAGTTTTTGTTTTGTTGATGAAAATATGTTTAAATCTTTGTGCATTTCTCGCAGACTCGTCTGTATAACGTCATCCAACGTGCGGACGATATCCTCGACCTGAAGTTCTGCACTGACGGCGTGCAAACGGCTCTGCGTAATGAAGATTATGAGCAGGCCGCAGCGCACATCCATCGATACTTGTCTCTGGACCAGTCAGTCATTGAGCTGAGCCGACAGGGAGAAGAAAGTAAGAGAGCTGTAGTTTCCTGTCATAGCGCGGCGTTACATTGCAGAGCGAAAAATACTGCAATCCTGTTTGACGCTCCGTGTTTTTGCACAGAAACAAACTTAAAGAAAAATCTCTTGGTAGTTTTTCTAACCATCCATGCTTCTGCTAATGTGAGGTTACTAAAACTGTTTTTACTCCGCYAATACCAGGGTTCACCTCAGCTTTTTCAACGAAATATCGCATKTAAATGAGATGACCACTAATCTGCCATCTGTCAAAGATTTTATTGGCATTACTAAACGCACACATCTCTCCTAACCCATTGTTTGTGCACAGGCAGTGCTGTGGACGCCAGTCTGGTCTTGCTGCAGGAAGCTGAACAGAAACTAAAAGTCATAGTCGCGCAGAAGCTCGACGAGGCCGTAGCGGCGGTCGACCTGGCGCAGGTGGAGAGGTTTTTCAAGATCTTCCCTCTGTTGGGCCTCCACCAGCAGGGTCTCGCCCGCTTCGGTCAATATCTCTGCAGCCAGGTTGGTTCCAGCGAAGTGCTAAAGTGTTGGACAGAAAGAAGGGTCAATTTGTGATGGTGTGTTTCCAGTGAGAGTGGTGACTCTGAGTTCAATCTCTGAATATTAATATTTTCTTTTCTGTAATGTTTTTTAAACTAAAATTTGATCAGCAAATAAAAAACTGTTAATAATAGACCGATTTATTTATGTTTGTCTCGAGTCAGTGCAAATGGCTGCTTCTCTTAAATTCACTGTTTTTCTTTGTTTTTCTTATTGCTTCTTGTGTATAAATCTGAAGATATTCCCCTCTGCTCTTTTTGTCAGACTGTAACTCATTTTTTCTTTAATCATATCAAGATTTATTTTCTTTTCTCCACACTCCCTCCCACAGCTCGCCTCCAAAGCCGAGGAGAACCTGTTGTTGGCGACGGGAGGCGATCTGGGTGAGAAAAGAGCCCTGCTGATCTTCGCAGACACGCTGACTCTGCTGCTGGAAGGTGAGAAGAAAACATCTGCATTTCTCCTTCACACCGACTCCGCCGACACGTCGGATTGTGTTTGCAGGGATCGCTCGCGTCGTCGAGACTCACCAGCCGATAGTGGAGACGTACTACGGTCCGGGCCACCTGTACACGCTCATCAGTCACCTGCAGCAGGAGTGTGACAGTCAGGCTCAGAAGGTTGTCGATAAGTTTATCCAGCAGAGAGGATACCACAACAAGGTGTGTGCTTCACGTTCATCTCCAGTCCAAAGAAGGATTTTTTACTCCATAGACAACTTATTATTTGAAGTTTTGTAAAAAAAAATTTCTGTTAAAATCATAGACTTGAATAAGATCACTAGACTAAGCCCCGCCCATCCCCTCCACTGGTGACGTCTGTGACAGCATGGAGGAGCAAAACAGGGCGTCGGCTCACAGCCTCCACAGAAACTAATAGAGAAACAGCAGCTGAACTGGATCTGTTTCACAGATTATCTGTCATGTTTTTACAATAAATTAATAACTATGTTAATTTCATTCAACAATCATGTAAAACAGCAGATTTATACCAGAAAAATATATAATTTATAAATAACCATTATCTAAACCAGACGTGAAGTCAGCCTGTAACTTAGACTTTAGCTAGTTGAAAAATGATGACTTCAGCTGTAATAAAGTATATTTATTGTTTCTTCTTACTGTCATAAAAAATAATAATATTTATATTTACCAGTCAACAGTTAGAAAATGTTCTCTGGTTATAGGATGAAACTTGTCTCTATTAGCTAACCATCTTCTAAACAAGTCAGGTTCCTCTAACAGAAACCTAAAAATACTCACATTTATAATATTATTTTACACTCTGTAGGTCTAAATATTAATCAGAGGACAAATCATCTGTAATATTTAATAGTTTGTGTTTTATTGTAGCATGATTCAACAGTGCTAAACTCTGTATATATGTTCCACAGGCTAATATCTGCTAACCAGTTCAATAAATAACAGTGATCACATCAACTTTATAAGATTATTTTAATTTTAAACTGTTACATTGTGTTCTGCTCAGATCACATTGAGCTAAATAAGATCAGATCTGCTGACTTGTGTTGTGAAATGGGATGTTTTCCTGCTGTTAATAAGCCCATAACACAAACAGCTTTTCTGACATTATTTAAAACATTATATAGATTATATAAACTGTAAAATATTAATAATAATTTAGTTAATATTATTATTACTAGTTTTAATGATTTGTATATCGTCAGTCCTTTTTTTCTGCTCTGTTGTCAACATGTACAGTAATGGGAAATCCAGACTCGACCGTTTTGCGTTAGCCGTTAGCTTCACCAGCCGATCACACGGTCACCTGGTTTCTGAGCACTCCAGTTATTATAAATACCTCCATGGTGAAAAATGACGGCTTAAAATCAACTCCCTCAAGACTGGAACAAGACAGTAACACATGCATGCATAAGCATTTATTTCATGTTATTAGTTGAAAGTAACATATTCTGTTAAATCAAGAGAAATTACTGCAGGTTCTAACACTTTTCTATTGCCTCGTCCATTTAATGGGTTAGAATAAATAAGCAATATGCTCACAACAGTGGGGGAGGATCAATCTGAAAATCAAAAGAAAAATGCTCTCTAATAAATAAAAAATAAAATTTCACCACTAATATTATGACTGTTATTGAAATATTAAAGGGTCACAGACCATTTCACATCAGACATAAGCTGACAAAGTCCTCACAGATGAACATATTTGACTCCTCACTGGAACACCTTGGCATTCAGCTCAAAGAAACTAACTATAATATTGTAATGAGACAAACTAGATGACACTTTAGTTTTCTTTGCAGTCATTCAGGCCTCCATGTCTGCAGCTGTTGAGTCGTCGTGTCTGTTTTCAGTTTCAGATTGTTCAGAGCAGCATGATGAAGAGCGTTCCGGGGGAAAGGATCGAGCCGAGGTGAGTCTCTCTTAGTATGCGTGGTGTTTAGTTTCACACCAACAGGGGAACTTGTGTTTATATTTCATATCTAACAGGGAACTGGACCCCATGCTGACTGAAGTGACCCTGATGAACGCCAGGGCGGAGCTCTACCTGCGCTTCCTGCGGCGGCGCATCATGGCAGACTTCGAAGTTGGAGATGATCGAACCATCACGCYGGGTAGTTTTATCAACTTCACCTTCAAACATGGCTGGATTTACATACGGTATATATAATTCTACTATTTTGAACACGCAGAGCATCAGCAGAATGTGGAGAAGCTCCTGAAACACTGTTCACTGAGCAGGACGACGCAGGAGCTGATTGGATTCTACATCCCCATGGAGGAATATTACATGAGGGAGTCTGTCAACAAGGTCAGTCTTATAAAACATTATTCCTTTAAATATGTTTCTATTTCAGTTTCGATTTTTTTAAATTAATAAAAACACAATCTACATACAGTAAAATAAAATTTAAATTAAAAGTAAATCATGCTGTAAATGAAAAGAACGCAGAGTGAAGAAAACGTTTTTATCGTATCTGCTCCTTCGTTTCGAAGCAAACTCACGTTACTTCTCAAAAGACTCAAAGAAAGCTAGACAATATAAAAATGAGTGGAACAAGCAAATTGTTCAAACTCAGTTTAATTAAATTAATTAAAACTATCTCAAATACCAAAAATGACAGGCGCCTCAAAATAATCCATGTATGGTTCATTCTTTGGTTTTTCTGTTTCAAAATAAAAAGAGGAAAAAAAATCAAATAATAGGGTGTTTCTTTACTTTTTTCCTTCTTAAATAGTTATTTTCTATTTTATGTTTTATTATTATTGTCATTATTAATTATATATATGTGTTTTGTGCTATTTTACATTTAGGTTTTAAAAACAAAAAACACCTTTGTTTCCTTTCTGCCATTTTATTTTGAAGTGAAAAAACCAATGAAGGAACTCTGCATGGATTATTCAAGGATCGGCTCTGAAGCCCTCCTTGTTTGCTCTGGTGATGGACAGACTAACAGATGAGCTTATGATGAGAACAGTGAACAGGTGGAAGAGAACGCAGAGAGGTGGAGGTATGCTCTTGAAAGAAGAGGAATAAAAAATGACTTTGAGCCCAGAAAAGACAGCAGTGATTCTGGATGATCATATTTTTTCCTCTATAGTAAAATTTGATCCTGTGTTTGGTAATAAAGAGATAATCTGTTTATTGGTTTCAGTAAAGTTGCTGAACTTGTGTTGTTTTTAATGCAGTTCACTCTTGTGATGATTGGACATGTTGTTTCCAGCTTTATGYCTTGTGTTCAGTGTTTTTAATGTTTTCTAAACATAATAATAATTTACTGTGGTGATAAAATCCAAACATAATGTTTGTTCTCATATCGTACAGAGTTGTTTATCAGATCCCTCCTCTCTGCATGTGTACTCTTCACAGACTCAGCCTCTCTGGGACGTTTATTTTTTTTATATCCCAAGTTACTGACCTGTTGCCAATTAATCTAATTAGTTCTCTTCGGCTGCACCCGTTTGGAGGTCCCGCTGTGGGACACGTCCCCCTGCGTATTTGCAGAGACCTCTTATAAACCCGTGGCTGGCTGATGGGACAGCTGTGTTCAGGCCTCCTGTGTGATAAACAATACAGTTCAGCCCTGCACAGGATGGGCTTTAAAGGTTTAATCTGGTATTTTGTTGTTACTGTCAGTTTTAAATGTTAATTTTTAGTCTTGAATCTATTCAGTTTTCTGTTAATTTTATGTTTACAGGGTTTCCGCAGATAAGTCTTAAAAAGCATTAAATTCACCAATTCAAAAATAAGGCCTTAATTAGCCTTAAAATGTAAATCAATCTTTCACAGGTCAAAAAAAAAAAATTAACAAATTGTATGTAGAGTGATTGTAATTCACTGTTAACGTTTATTTATCTTTTGAAATAATTTACAGAAGGCAGCTCGTTTTGTGTTAAAAATAAACATTTGGATAAATTTATTTTTTACCATTTATGTTTATTGTGAAGTTGCTGTTTAAATTTAATTTCATGTGGCATTAAAAAAAAGTCTTAAAAAGTCTTAAGTTTTACTTGTCTTAAGCTGTAGGAACCCTGGTTTAAACTGTGCAAATCATATCCTTTTATTTTAAATTACTGTTTATACTGAAATATGCCTATTTTTTAATCAAAACAATAGTTTATGCCTTAATTTGATGTCAGTTAAGAAATTTAAAGAGGATCAAAACTAAATCTGAATTTTACCTGTTTGAAAGAAACAAACAAGACTTTTCTGTCTGTAGTTTGTGCTTGAAAATATGTAGATAGAACTGATGCCAATTTATTCCACCCATTTCAGGCCGTTGCGATGGATACGTATGAAAAGGGTCAGCTGACCAGCAGCATGGTGGATGATTGTTTCTACATTGTGAAGAAGTGCATCAGCAGAGCTTTGTCCAGCTCCAACATCGACTGCCTCTGCGCCATGATCAACCACGCTAACTCCGTGCTGGAGTCCGACTTCAGGTGCTCGTCTCGTCCATGTTTAATATGTTTTTAAGATGACTGCCTCACGTCTGATGCTCGTGCCTCCTCCTCCTCCTCCTCCTCCTCATCATCAGGGAGGTGCTGTACAACAAGCTGAGGCAGGGCTTCCCGGCTACGACGCTGCAGGACATCCAGCGTGGCGTCAGCAGCGCGGTCAGCATGATGCAGAGCAGCTTGCAGCAGGGCAARTTCAACACGCTGGGCATCGAGAGCACGGAGAACGCCAAGGCCGCCTTCCTGGTGAGACACAAACAACGACACACAACACAACACAACCAGCCCCTGCACCGTGTCTAAGGAAGTGTCTCCAAAACTGTGGCAGAGAAATCACATCACCACTTCACTAAGTCAGTAAAACAAATGAATTGCATAAATGACATTTATAAAGTTAGGATATTTTTCTAAATCTTTACAGTTCTGCTTTAGAAAAACCTTTCCATGTCACTGTTCCATACGTATCCTCACTACAAACTCTGGTGTTATTCGTTAGGGGTGTAAGAAATTATCGATGCAGTGAAAGAGGGAGAAATGTAACAATTCTCCAAAAACACTGCATTGATTTTTAATTAAGGCCTAATGGATGGATGTTGTAAGAAGTGTGAGGTACAAATGCACTTCTCACTGTTGTTCAGTTTTCTTCTGATTGCATCAGATTTGTGCATGTAATGCATAATGTGCTCTATACACTGAGACTCTTTTGGGGGAAAAAAGGTAATAAATCCTCTGTGCTGTGATATGTATMATCAGATTTATTGTACCTTGTGTTTATCTTAAATATCAGATCTGTTGAACTAAATTTCCCAGGAAGCCACAGTTAGAAAGCCAACAGCTCAGAGGTCATTACATAAATTTAATTTGTGATTTAAAATCTATGTTTATTTTAAATTAAATCATTGGTGGACCCAACTGAGCTCACCTGTGGGCAGGATGTGTTCCCTGGGCCATCAGTTGAGACATGGAGCTACCAAACAAGTTGTTGAACTCAATAAAATCTGGGTTTTTTTTTTTTATTTGATACAATTTATCCAGGAATAAATTAGATTAAAAAAACAGTTTAGGTGACAAAAAGTGTTTTTGTGTTTCATTCCCAGGTGACTCTGAATAACGTGGAGGTGTGCAGTGACAACATCACAACCTTAAAACGGAACCTTGAGGTAAATTAGACATCATTTCCTGGTTTCTGCCTCGCTTCCCTTCATGTTTATTCTTTTTGTTTGTTTGTTTTTGTTTGTTTGATTGTTTCTTTCATCACCTGGAAACTGAACTTGTGTTTTTGGCAGAACGACTGCTCCAAACTGTTCAGTCAGGGGGTCGGTTCTGGGGAACAAGCCAAGATTGAGAGCTGCTTGTCGGACCTCGTCAGCACCTCTGCAAAGTTCAAGGATCTCCTACAGGTCGGACACATTTACAATAATATATTAAAGTGCATTTATTACCATTTATTTAACCCCTGCTTCCATAAGTCTAATAATAAAATATAAAATTTATTTAAACATCTCTTCAGATTAAAATAATTTGAGTTTAGGACTGTCCTCGTTGTTCAAAGTGACCCAGCATCACAAAGAAWATCCTCCTCCCTCTAAACGTTGAGAGAAATGTTCTTTTTGAACTGTTTGAGGAAACGTTTTATAAATAAGCTTCTTTACAAGCTGAGAAAAAATCCCTGAAATTTTATTTAGATTGTAAGATTTGAGAAAAGCTGGAAGTTTTGAATAAACTTCTTGAAACTAATTGAAGTTACACCTGTATCAATTTTGATTAAATTACTCTCTTCAATAATAGTTTTGTTATTAGATTTTTATTGTTTTGGCTTCAATGAAAACAACCTAAACTGCTGTTAGTGTCATAAAACAGATGATCTGGTTTTCTGTGATAAAGTAAAATTATCATTTTGATTCTGTGCAGAAATGTTATTTATCATCACAATAGGAGGCTGAAGAAGCTGAAATTAGTCTGGAGAATGATTAAAAGGGGTTTTAGGCTGTTATAAACATCTTTAAACTGCTGTTTTTCTTGATAATTTTCCGTAAACACACATTAGAAACGCTCAGCTTTCTTTAAATAAAAAGTAAAAGTTGTGATTTCATCTGTCAGGAGGGTCTGACGGAGTTGAACACGACAGCCATAAAGCCACAGGTCAAACCCTGGATCAGCAGCTTCCTGTCCATCTCACACAACATCGAAGAGGTAACGAGCCCCACTCCTGCACAGAAGCAGAACTCCTGGAAGCGGTTGCTGTAACTCTTGCGGTTTCTTACAGGAGGAGTTTAATGATTATGAAGCTAATGACCCCTGGGTGCAGCAGCTCATCGTTAACTTGGAGCAGCTCATGGCTGAGTTTAAGGTACGCGAACCTTCCAGACTGTTTTGTTTTGTAATTGTTTTGTAGTCATGTAGCGTGTCGTTCTCCAGGCGGCCCTCTCTCCTGTCATTTATGACACGCTGACCAGCCTGATGACCAGCCTGATCTCTGTGGAGTTGGAGAAGACTGTGCTGAAGTGTTCGTTCAGCAGGGTGAGCAGCTGAGCTCAGCCACAAGGTGGCGCCGAGCTTCATCCGCCAGCAAGGATTTATTAATGATTCCAGAGATTAGTTCACTTTTTTCTTTTTGTTTATTTTTCTCCCTGTAAACTAATATATTTCATTATTTTCCTGCCCTCTCTGGTCTTCCTGTTGTAGCTCGGAGGGCTGCAGTTTGATAAAGAGCTCCGGTCTCTGGTGGCGTACCTCACCACCGTGACCACATGGACCATTAGAGACAAGTTCGCTCGCCTCACACAAATGGCCACCATCCTCAATCTGGAGCGGGTAATTTAGATTTATACCCACACATAAAAAACATATCTGGTTTTGTAACGGCTTCTCTCCACATTTTCGGGTTTTACTCGATTGGATTTTTACCAAGTGTGCAGTAGAGCCGATGATTTCATTTCATGGCTCGACCGTTCAGAGCTTTACATCGTGTTTCGGTTTAAATTAAAGCATCGGGGCACAGTTAAATCAGATTTCTACCTGGTCTTATATAGGGTTATATACAATAATGCTGCATTCAGAAACAAAAACACACTTCATCTAACTGCAGGTTAGTCTTCAGTTGTGCAGAATAATCAGTGAGAATGATTACCGTTCATCAAAACTTTCACTAAAATATCAACAAGAATCAAAGTTTATTTGTTGATATTTAACATCTTTTTAAACAGAAAGCCTAAAATCTGTTTAAATTACATGAGATATATGTTATACATATAACATGATTTAAAGC